TGTGATATATGTTGTAATAAATGTTACTTGACCATAGCACGAAATGACGTTTGCGCGGATAGAAGAATGCATGGTTGAAATAATATAGTATTAATTCAACCATGGAAGAATGCATGTGAAAAGATGATTTCGCAGACATGGAATTAGTTGGAAGTAGCCAGTAGGTATATCCAGTAACCTTATCTTGCCACAGAATGAAGGATAATTTGTAAGAAATTTAACATGCAGGGAGATTTTTTTACAGATAAAACTAATAAAATATCGCAATTTCGCACACAATGCATGACTTGCAGCTGCAGGAAATAACGAGGCTCGGAAGCGATGCCCACAGCACGAGATGCTGCATGCATTATCTTGGATGAGGTGAGAGAGGCGTTGTCTGGACAAGCGAATAGAATTAAGGAAGGCAGAAATAGCAGTTAAAATCATAAAATCATGTCAAGATGCAACATTTTAGCTAAAAATAGAATTGAAATAAACTCTAACCGGCACAACAGAGTCGAAAAGGAATAAGTGCGAATAATGCAAATGAGTGCCAGTTATGGCAAGATAATACTTGCAATGCGAGCAAAATCAAGCGGAAATAAAGTTTTTACTTACAAAATTGTCAAATTTAATTATACTCGCTATTCACTGGAATACAAAATTTAATAATACAATTCCAGCATAATATTATGCCACAAGAAAAGGCAGAATCATTATCGGCTTGAGAAGGAATAGTCTAATAGAATATATTATTTTGAATAATTCTCAGGTACACGAAGACCACAATGTGATGAGAACAACCCATGGGAAAAAATTGTAAAAGAGATCATGGATGGAAGAATACAAGGAAGTGAAAGCATTGCACAAAAATGAAAAGCCGGTGTCCAGAAACTTGTGATCCCTGGGGACGCCATTATGGAGCTCGTTACAGCCATCACTCGCTTTCGCGCGTTGCCGGGAGCCAGCACTAGTTTGACGAGCGCAGGATACGAATCGCAATGTTACTTCTTTCGCTTCACTCTCGCCCTGAGCTGACGACAATAATTATTATAGTTGTAAAATATTTTTAATCACTTTGGATCTCATTATCAGGCCGTAAGATAGGCATAAGGTTTAGGTTGGTAACTTTGGAATCCCGGGCCCAAATTGAACTATGAACTCGGCCTACGTTCGTTTGCTAGTGATACTGAGAAGCATTCCGGAGTGCTTTTTTTTAATCTGTTGGATTGAGCAAAAGATGCCAGATTTATTTTGTGATTGCAAATAGCAGTCTGGCAATAATTAAATTTAAACCCTTTGATCTCATCCTCATCATGAAACGGAAACAGGTCAAGCGATCAATCGAAAAGTAAAACTTTAAATGACCGAGGTTAGAGCAGAAACTTTTAAATTCGGCCCCAGCTCCTGTAATAGTTCTTGCTGAAATTGGTGACGTGGCCGTTGGCTAGTGGTCAAGAACAACAAGATTGGACCAGCGAGTCAAGGGTTCAAAGATAGCTTATAGCAATCGACGATGCCAATAATCACAGTTTTGCCACAAGCTAGACTAGGCGCAATCAACGCGGACACTGCGTCATATATTAATACTAAATATGAATGAGTGAGAAAAATGTGTAAAGATTACAGAATAAGGTTTCAAAGATTGAATTGAATATATAAATATTTAATTATGACAGCTGTAACTCGTCTTGAAGCTCAGACACGGCATTATGGTCAATCAGAGACTAGTTACGCTTGCTCTCTTTATTGATACTCTACAGCAATGAACAAATGTAATTGTATTAACACTGAATAATCAGTATGAATTATAATCAAGGATATAAAAATTGATTTAGTGGCTCATATCTCTTCATCACTTATTCACTATATGGATGTAGGCAAGTCAAAAAACAGGCAGGACGCAGTAGTAATGTTTATCACATAACCGGCCTTTCTATAGAATCAAGATTCATTGTGATGGTAGATATAATCAGTTGTGGAAAGATCGGGTTCAAAAGGCCGGATCCCTTGCGAACCAGGTCACGAAAAGTACAAGAAAGTCAAGAATCGGCAACATGCCATGGGCCTATTTCTTCAGCGCCGACACTTCTATTCTATCTCAAGTCAAGTGAATAGAGAGCAACTGCGTAAGTTGCTCACCCAGGTGCCCTACAGCTCTGCTGACTTGAGAAGACTCATCACACACTCATTTCGCAGCATATGGCAGAGAGCATGGACTGAACAACCACGAAAACTGACTTCCTTCAAGCCAACACTAGGCCCACTAGCTCAGCAATCTCTCACTCGGCCTCACCAAGTCACAATCGCACGGCTTCGGCTAGGAGTGTGCCTATTAACTCATGGCCACCACTTCTCAAGATCCCCCCACCCTAGTGCTCAACATGTCAGAGCCGTCTCACCCTCAAACACCTCTTCATCAGTTGCCCGGCACTGACTCCTCAACGTGACCAGCTGAAATCTGCATGTGCTCGCCTCTCTGTCCCTTTCTGCCTGTCTTCGCTTACGACCCCTGCATTCCCTGCTGAACTGATCATCAAGTAACTCAGAGCCACCAACATGCTCAGCAACATCTAATGCACCCTGAAGAATGCGGATTGGGGGCGCCAATACTCAAGACGGTGACGCGCCTCATCTTAACCAAGTAAGTAAGTTGCAATGGAAGTGAATTGAAAATCGCTTAACTCGGCATATCTACCTATCTGTGAAAAGTAATTGAAAAAGTTGTTGAGTTACTGGAAAATATGAGATGACATTATCATGAAATTAAAAACCTGGCACTTTGCCAAAAAAATAGATTGTTGTAATAATGATATGGACCGCCGAAAATTTTTCCATGATTGTAACAATGTAATGACTAACGCGAGTTAACAGGCTTTTGTAGAACATTGCTGCTGAGTAGCTGACACAGATCTCTGACTAAGATTCCGCCTTTATATTATCCATGGGACGTAAGCTCTTCGCTCAACATCTCAGACCAGACGTGAGACGACGTTCAGCGAGTGTCCGTTTATCCGTTTCCGAAACTGAGATCGGAGGGTCAAGTGCTAGGCGCAGGTACCGTATCACTATCAAGCGTGTCTGGCAGAGTGAGACATTAAACTAATTTATTTGGAAAGTATCACTTCTTTTAGATGTTACTACATTACAAATCTCTACGCTGCTAGTTGCAACATTTTTTACTCATAAATTTTTCCAAAATGGAACATTGTCCCATTCCCATATTTGAGTCAGAGACAACTTCGGTCAAGCGACAGCTCTTGCTCTTCGAATGATTCACACTGGTCACTGGACACTGGGCTACGGTAGTTGAGTCGTTCACCGCCTGCTCAGATTGCTAACCCTGGCGGCCTCCCAAGGCTCCCATTTACTCAAATGATCAATCTCCTCCTCAATCATGATTGAACATTATCTTGACTAGGAATGTACATAAACCTGAGTTGAGTTAGATAAACTACTGGTTGAAAAAGTCTTTTCAGGCTATTCGCTATTGCAGAATTTTATGGATTCAAGCCTGACAGACCCTGACTGAGTTAGCCTGACTGCCCTGACAGTCCTGACTTAAGCCTTAAGGCTGTGTTAGTGTTACTGTTACAGACTGGTCTGACAGTAGCAGTAGGGAGAGCCGAGAGAGTAGGCTAGGGCCGCTAGGCTATACCTCTGAGGCTCTGAATGTCATGATAGGTGTTTTTGATTTACTATCATTCATGGCCCAGTGGCCCTTATGAGTCTTACGCAGTTACGCTCTTACCTGTAACCTATTCATGGCCATGGCTGATGGCCTGCCGCCCATGGGTCATTCATGGCTTCTGCTTAATTTTCTAGTAGTATGGGCTAAAAGCCTTAAAGAGTAAAAGTAAAACCATAGGTCCATAGCTATGTCAAATGTCAATTAGGCCTATATATACTCAAATGAGAGAAAAATGCCCATGACCATGGCCATGCTAGTGGCCAATTTTATACATTTCTATGGCCCTTGACTTATTTCTGTAGTAAAAATTAGAAAAGTTAGGTACAATTTTGAAATTATTATATTTTTTTAAAAATTGCTTGTTAAACAATATTTTTTTTACCAGTTATCCATCATATATTGAAAATCTGTCCAATATAAATTATATGTATTAATGTGTACGGTATGTTAGTTTTGATTTGTTAGTACTTGGCGTTGGGCCGTTGGCTGGTTCCTGGTTGGCAGTTGACTCTATTGTGTGTGGCTGGTCCAAGCTGCATGCTCCAAGGTACTGTACCTATAACTGTAATGTGTAATCTGTAAATGGCATCATGGCAGATATAACTACATAAAGACGATAAAGGAACACTGTGCATCTCCAAGACTCCAGCTATGTTAAAATATTAAAATTGATGGCAAATTAAACATGAGTTGAAATTTTGTCTATTCATAGACAATAGTTCATGCATTCAAATGTTGATTCATAGCAGGGTGGCCCAGGGGTTGGACCGTTAGAGTTCGGAGTACCAAGGTTGGCGCAGCAAGGCGCAGGTTCAGTCCCAGCTCGGTGCGCTAGTTTCTGGTCAGAATTGGCAAGGAAGCTGGGCGGTTTATGCGGTTAAGCACAGCAGAATTGTAGCAGTGAGGTGCGAGACTGCAAGTTTGAGACCGCAACAAGCTGTGAATGTTTTGCGATGTTAAGAATTGGTGACGGGCCTATGGCCTAAAAATGCTGCAACTGCTATTATTCTATTATTATTATATATATTGTTTCTTATAATTTATGTTATAAATTATAAGCAATATTTAATTTTGTTTGAAATTGCTAAAACTATCTTATTTTCTTTATTGATTGACTTATATTCTTTATATTTACTTTTTAATTACTTATGAACAAATTTATTGTTCACCTTTTTATTCGTTATATATATATATAAATATACAAAAATTTAATCCTAAAGTGTTTTGTCAAGTCTGATTTAGTTTATATTCTTCCATAATTTGCACTTTTAGAGTTGGTGTAATAATGCATTTCATAATTCCTGCACTCTTTCCTTATTTGTTTCAGGGTAGACTGGGTAGTCATGTTTGTTTTCTACTAAATGTCCCTCTTTGATGAGGCTCTCAACCAGTTAGTGGAGTTACTGTGAGTATTATCTTCACAATTAATCTTAATAGCTTTAAATACTTTTAATGTCACTGAAAAATAGAAATTATCATTTTGGTGATAATCATTCTCTTCTCTAATTATTGTTCAATCAAGATTTGTGAAAAATTTTTAATTTTTGCCAATTTATTTCTTTATAAAAAATTTCTTCTTTTTATATTTCTTAGCAAAAATCTGAAACTATTTAATGCCATTGATAAAAAATCATTGTATTCAAGTCTAGAAAATTGTACCTATATCATTATGGAATGTTTGGATTCAATTACTATTTATTTTTCAGGCCTAAACTTGGTTCAGAGAAGAGGTGCCGTCGAGGTCACCACCATAACAGACGCAACAGCTCAAGCAGCATATTCAGTCGTGTTTACAACAGGTGGAGACACCCTGAGACTGATGCTGACATCACTGAACCATCAGCTGCAATCTCCCTATTACCTGTTGCTGCTGCAGTGGCTCATGCGAGCTGCCAAACACTAGACTCCAGACCTGCACATGAGCAACTTCTCCTAACCTACATTAACAAGAGAACTGCTACCTCTTCTTCACCTGTGAGTTTTTATAGGTTTTGTTATCTAAGATTTTGTGTCCTATCCATGAAGTAACTAGGTTTTATTATTAAGATGATGTGTCTTTGAAGCCTGAATACTCTATCATCATTGTTCTTAATTACTGGCTCAGATTAAAATTATGGTTATGCAAGTTATATTAATGTGAATTCTGTATTAGTAAATCTATTTGTTTGCTTTGATATAATTTTTTCTGGTAATTTACCACATGAATTTTGCTATCTGTCTGGAATTGAAGTTGATAAATATTTTGTAAAATGATTAAAATAATTTATCTAACTTCAAAAGAGAGGCAGAAAATGTTAGCACAATTGTTTTAGTTTGTACATTCATCGATGTTTTCTTGAAACTGAGGAGTGGGATATATTTTAACCATCAAATTACTAGTAGGTATAAAGTTAGTTGCCATGCTACTAGATGAGCAGCGCATTGCGCCTGCGCTGCTCAGATGATTGATGACTAGACTGAAGTTTGCACCATTGCTAAAGTGTTAATTCACGCAAGTATAATGTATAAATTGCTTATTTAGCTATTTCATAACAACCCATTGTAGAGTGAATTGAAATTTGTCACTACTTTGTGTTATTATTATCATGATTTACTATTTTCACTGCTAATTTCTTCTACTTAACATAGGGTACGTGTTTGATTAAAACCAATTCGCCATGCTTGTCATGCTGGATCACTCATATTCAATAGAGCAGGCATTCAAGGCAGGGTTAAGCAGACTCTTAAGAACCTGAATGTGTTAAATATCCTTGTTCTGACCATGAGAGAGATATAAATCAGCCTTAGCAAATTCCCCCCCTTGGAATTTTTTGCTTCTGGTATTTACCTGAAGTCTCAATCCTAGCTTGACTAATGCTGAACAACAACCAACTGATATAATTTTCTACCATGCGGTGTGGATTTGTTCTCCCTTAACCTTCCCTGCTGGTAAGACTGCTGGAATTTTTGTGCTGAATTGTCCAGTATTTTTTGTGTTGCGCTTGTTGCTCTCGGCCAGTGGCTCCTAAACTGAGGCTAAACTACTCGCTGTTTGCAATTTATTTATTTTAATGAATAATTGAAGGTGGTAGAAAAAATGTGTATATTGTTTAAAACTATATACATAAGTCTGTAAAAAGGTGTAACAGGCTTATTCTGATAATTAAGCAGCGTCAGAAAGTTGAATAGTTTGGGAACCACTGATCTAGCTTGTGTGTTGGTCATCAATAAATTGGCTTTGCAAGCTCTGTATTGAACCAATCTGTACGACCTAAAGCAAGGGATTGGATTGTGGTTGTCAGGTTCAATGTCTTGACCATAACATAATATGATCATATAATATGACATTCATAACATCAATGTCTTGATCATAACGTAATATGATCATATAATATGACATTCTTAACATCAATGTCTTGATCATAACGTAATATGATCATGTTATGTCATGACATTCATAACATCGATGTCTTGATTATAACAAAATATTTTTCATGACAAATGGAACTGTATTAAATTTTCTGTAATTTCGTACAAATGCAGCTAAAATGTCCCTCCTTCATTTATCTTAAGTAGAATTTGTAAATATACTGATAGATGGTCTAAATAAGATAGTAACTCTAAATACAAAGATAATCAAATAAATATGATCATATTTGTATTAATTCAATGCTCTTTCTAGACTTGAAATTGTGATGACCTCTATTTTCCCTTCTTTAATAACATTACGGTAGGTATTGTTTATCAACCTATTGTTTTGCACGAGTTCAGATATCCTGTTTGTTGGCAGACATGAAATGCTGTCTGACCAAAACCAGTCTTGTTTTTGAACATTACTAGTACATGTTTTATTATGATCACCAACAGCTAGTTTTCTGAAAAAGGATGAAAAGAGTGTTTATTTTTTGTGATTTTTCTGTTAAGAATATTTTTGTGTTGGGTTTGCGCTTCTGAAATTATTCTTTAGTGTGATGTTCATCACATAGTACCTACTATAAATGTGCTTCATTAAGATGTTGAAAACATCCAGCTTCTTTCTTTTAGCACTTCCTACAGCTCAAAGATTTCTGTGATGCACTTCACTTTTAGTACGTATGTAATATTGCGCACCGTATTAGTATATCGTTAGGTAGGTATCTATTGATCCCGTTATTCTCTATCAGAAACTGGCAATAATACTATATCTGATGTTCAGACCAGAACATTTCGAACTTGTTTATGCTAAATTAAAAATCATCTGCCAGAACCATTACTACTTGGACTCTTCCATTATTTATGCTCTAGTGCGATATATTCTAGGTGAAACTTGGGACAAATGACGTCTATACATAACTATCGATGACGCTCTCATCCAATAGATACTTTGTATTAATTTAGTTATGCATAGGCATGGTTTACTAATTGATATTGAATGGCTACTTGCATTTTGGACCACAGAGTAACATGGGCATATTAACTTAATTTTCTTGAACCGTGTCGTTTGTGCATGTTGCTGTTACTATTTGAACATACTTTTTAGCCACAAATTTTGAATTTCTATCAGCTGAAACTGCTTTGAAAGCTTTTTATTTCGTAAATATGATGTATGTTTGCATTGTTTCTTCAAATCTGAATGATTTTGTTGAGCCCGTGATGCGCAGTGGCGCATGTATTGATGCATGAAGTTATTTATTTAATAGATGCCATGAACTTTTTTCGAGCTTTATGTAGATTCATACTGTTTTTCAAGTCTAAGATCATGCTTTTTGGAGTATTCTGGGTACTGGCATGTGGTTTACTTCATTTTTTTGGTGCTTCTTCTAATAACGAATAGTTAATGATGTAACTTTTGTCTTTCACATTGTATGGTTGCAAGAAAAACCATTTCCAGCATTCCCGTCTATTATTTGGCTGCTTCCTGTTGTGAGAGATTCTCTTCTATTTTTGTGAGAGTTTAATTATCTTAAGTTTTTAGTTTTAATTGTGAGTTATAAGGGAAGTGATATAATTTCATAGTCCTGGACCAGCATCTTGTGTTTCTCTGCAATATTCATCGTGAAATATGCCTCGAATGTTAATCCCTACTGCTCATTTGTCACCAAAATCATTCCTAGTTTACAATGTCACCAAAATCCATCCCAGTTTACAAAGAACCGTTTTCAAACAAGATTGCTTGACGACACAATTTACTGAGTAAATCAAAGATTGTAAAAAATAATCTATCAGGTTTGTGTTGTTTTACCCTAGTTTTGGTGTGGATGGGGCATCTATTTTATTCCTAGTAAGGAGTAGTCAATTGAGTCACTAGCATGGCTGCGTGTGGATGCATTCTACGGTCCAGCTAAAAACAATCTGCAATGACTCTCATATCGAGAAATCTCGTTCAGAGCTAAACAATTCCAGATACCGTTATTTCTGCAAAACATGAATTTATTGTATATACGAACATTTTTGAATGAATTTATTGTATATACTAACAATCAACGCTACTAGAGTAACGACAGTAAGAATACATGTGGACTTAGCTATGAATCCGTTATAAAATGCATCCACACCGGCAAAAGAAATGCCACTAACAGTAGGTGTGTTTAACGCAGCCGCGCTCTAAGGAATGTCTTGTGATGTCTCTACGGGACTCTGACAGTGGCACTGACGAAGACTTTGTAACTCCACTGCAGAGCCTACACGCCTCTCGTCACGTCCTCTCGCCCATCTCGCGCTCCACTTCGGTAATCTTGAATTATTGTGATGAGTTGTTTACGGCTCCGCCCCCGGCCACGCTCTTAAATCTCTACCGCCGTATATGTCACTCTCCGGGAACAGAACGTTCAGCTTAAATTATACGTAAACTATTGACTGTAGCAACCTGAGGATGTTTGTACGCAACAGTGAACATTTTAACCCTCTACAGCCGTATGTCACTCGCCGGGAACTGAACTTTCAGCTTAAATTATACGTAAACTATTGAGTGTAGCAACCTGAGGACGTTTGTACGCAACAGTGAACATTTTAACCCTCTACCGCCGTATATGTCACTCTCCGGGAACAGAACTTTCAGCTTAAATTATACGTAAACTATTGACTGTAGCAACCTGAGGATGTTTGTACCCAACAGTGAACATTTTAACCCTCTACAGCCGTATGTCACTCCGGGAACGGAACTTTCAACTTAAATTATACGTAAACTGTTGAGTGTAGCAACCTGAGGACGTTTGTACGCAAAAGAGAACATTTTAAAGTCATCGTACGTGGCGGCAACCATCAGTACAAGTCATTTTGCGCTCACTAGAACGCATCCTTTTTGGGAAGTAGGCGCGTGACAATATTGCTCCGGTTACTCGTGTCAGGCGGTAGAGGGTTAAAATATTTCCCCGTGCCGGGAATCGAACTCGGGCACAAGGTTTGCGTGTACGCCTCGCTGTACGTACCCACGAGAATCGCCCTTGACTAAAAATTTGATGCTACATTGCCTAAGTTCTTTTGCGTCCTGCAAATTGGAGTGTTTCAATTTATTTGCGTCACATTAATGACGATCATCGATGCGTCTCGCAAATTTACTCCTAGAATAGATGTCAAAATGTCATGTAGAGAACTCTTCTGCGCAGCAACATCTTCTTTTATTCATCTTCATCTTATTCTTTTATTAGTAGCGTCATTGAGTATTTATTCAACCTCCCAACACCTAAAGATGGGCATTACCGTTAATATCTGTATTTACTTTCATACATTTCTTTTAAGTTCCGCGCGCTGGAGGCGATCTCAACATTGCTGTTCATGTAGCGGGCGGTGCACTGAACCCTGGTTCACTGGCACATTCTCTCAGCCTTTAATGACTTCAGTCTTCATAGTAAACTGAATGCTCGAGCATGACATTGTTATGATATTAAGTCTGCACTTATGGGCTCATTTATTAGTACGTTCTTAATTACGACTACGGATTTTGGGTTTCCTTCATCTTTACTTGGGCTATTTTTTCCACATAAGATTCGTTTTAGATATTTTCACTTTTTCGTGGTGCCTGTGCGCAGAAAAAGTTCCTTACTCTCAGTCGGTAAGCTGTAGCATTAAGCAGAGGTTGATTTTACGCTAATTCTTAAACTCACACACAATCTGACGTTTTAAACAGAAGTTAATTGTATACAATTATCTTTATTACACATAACCTGACATGAATGCTCTCTGTACGTACGACGTTTGACTGCAAAAGACTGTTTTGAGTGTATTTTTGAAGCCTGATTCTAAGTAACTACAAAAATTGATTCGGTCGTATTTGTTCAGCTGTACCTGTCAGCGAGCGACATCCCAGTCCTGGAGACTTGTGCGTCTGCAGGCTGCAGCTCGCCCATGTCTGCTGCCGACCGCGCCACTAGCCCATGCATGTCTGCAGACCACATCACCGACATGGACGACCTGCAGCTCATGGACCATCAGACCCACCCTACCCCGGACATTGAAGATACCCACGAACTCACTGCGCCGCGGCTTGTGAGTACAAATTCACTCGTAAATACTGGTGCGTTCTGCTACTACCCACTGAAGTACTTTGTACTGTTGCGTTGTATGAAATAAAATTGTCAACAAAAGGGTCTCTAGCCTACATACTGGCCGCCGTTCGGTTGAGACCTCTCGTCTCTCTGGACGATGAATGATTTTTTGGAAAATTTCCATCATTTGTCATGGTGTTGACATTTATTTTCGAATTTGAGTGCAAAATTGTTGAATTGCTGAAGCTGTAGTAGATCCTCTGGCCCTTTGGCGGGACGCTCTGCCTCTCGAAGGTTTGAGGTCGGTAGATGACGATGGCAGCGCATCAGCATGACCATGACACCGCTAGCATTTGCACATTATGATTGAGACAGGCAACCTCGTCGAAGAGGGAATGGTCATGGTCACGCTGATGCGCTGCCATATAGTCTAAAGGCCAGAGGATATGTTAATGATTCAGCAATTGCGCACTCAAATTCTAAAATAATTGTCAACAGCATGACGTCTTAAACTTGACACAAATACAGAATGATAATAAACCAAACTACTAATTAACCTTACTAATACCACAGAACGGACCGAACCATTCGTTCACTCTGCGCGACGGCATGCGCAGCATCGACTACGTGTTGGTGTGGCAGGAGACGAGCGAAGACCTGCCCCATGACGATGATGACGAGCAGCTGACGGCGCAGCAGCTGCAGAAGAGGCTGCACAAGAAGGAAATGATTGACATGCACGCCAAGAGACGACTCATATTCGAGGGCAACCTCGTCGAGGAGGGCATCGTGCTAGAGGAGGACCGTGTCAATGATGTCCCGCTCAGGCGAGTGATTCTTATATTTCAGTGTTGTTGTACACGTGAAACTTGGAACTTTTATTGCTGTTGCTGTGATGCTATTGCTGCCTTACTATGATACAATCTTACTTACTAGAAATAACATACAATATAATACAATAACGTTTTGTTGCTACGGCATATCATTAAGTAATACAGTATAATTTACTGCAGTTGATGACTGTACGAAGCCTGAAATATTTGTTGATATATTAGCTCGAGTTTTCTTCATTTGAGCCGCAAAGCATTTAATTTTGATGAATTTATTACAGCGAATAAAAACAGTTTCTTACTGCGCTTCCAGTGATGACTTTATTCAAAATTTTTTGATGTTCTAAGTTTTTTTTTCAATCGATGTTCGATGCCAATTGTTGTTGATATGCATGTTCAAGTTTATGGAGATAATTTCTTTCCAACGTTACCTAAATATATATAATTATTGTTATGATGATTTGTGAAATAATATAATAATTTAATACAGATTTGTGAAGATTCACGTCCCCATGGAAGTGTGTTGTCGATATGCCGAGATCCTCAAGCTCAGGATGCCCATGAAGGAGGTCAGTTGAATCCTAATTGTTTTACATGAATAATTATGACGTCAGCGAATGTTATGACGTCAGAGAAGTCCGTATGACGTCATAATTATGACGTCAGAGAAGTCTGTATGACGTCATAATTATGACGTCAGCGAATGTTAGGACGTCAGCGAATGTTAGGACGTCAGAGAAGTCCTTATGACGTCAGAGAAGTCCGTATGACGTCATAATTATGACGTCAGCGAATGTTAGGACGTCAGATAAGTCCGTATGACGTCATATTTATGACGTCAGCAAATGTTATGACGTCAGATAAGTCCGTATGACGTCAACGAATGTTAGGACGTCAGAGAAGTCCTTATGACGTCATAATTATGACGTCAGCGAATGTTATGACGTCAGAGAAGTCCGTATGACGTCATAATTATCACCTTGATTTAGAAGTCCTTGATATGATTATTGAAACATTTTTATTTCAGAAATATTATTACCATGGAGAGCATCATTTACTTTGTTTAGAGCTGATGGTTTAGGCTGACAGCTTGTTAGTGAAGCAACTTCAATATAATTCCTAACATAAACATAATTTCTAAAATGATCGATAAAAATGTACCATTGTTGTTGGGTAATATTTATTTCCCAGTACTGTTGATTGGAGATTTGATGTTAGTTGTTAGCTTCTTTCACAATCGATACTGGTCAATCTGTTAGTGATTATCAACATTTTGTTGATTGATCATTGCTGAGGACGTTGAACCATCAACTTTGTGTTGATGCATGCAATCCATTCATGGCCAGTGTCGTGTGTGGTCGCAAGATAAATGCAGGGTATTTCTGTGATAGTTACGTAATGCTATGCAATGATTTTCTTATTCCATTCCTCAATCAAATGTTTCTTTTTCATATTATAATATTATTATATTATATTGATGTTATTATTATTTATATTATTTATTATATCTATTATATTATTAGACTTTTATTATATTATAAAATTACTTTTTCATTGAATCATTTCTTTGTTGAATAGAATCAATCTTTAATGCTCTGAATTTTGAAATTCTTCATATACATTCATTAGTCATATGCTTTCCTTGGTTCTGTATTGAAAATGTATACCACAAAATTTATGTTTGTATAATACATATATGTACTTACATTTTAAATTAAATCTTGTCCAGGTTTATTTTTGTCATACAGTGTAAATATCATCTCTCACCATCTCTGTATATACTTTCATGATCGCTCGCGTTTTATAACGTCACCATCTCAGCGGCTTCACATTAAGTTACAGAAACGATACCTCTTTTTTTAATGATGAAGACTTCATTATAGACAGTGAATAACACTCATTAGTTTCAATAGTTTGTATATTATCTATCGCCCACTTTGGAATACATGTTAGGAAAGATTCTCTTATGTTTATCTTAGCTTACCTACGCCAAAGATTCTTTTGTATCTTAGCTATCGTTCAATTTGTGATAGATGTTAGGAAAGATTCTTTTATACGGATTTATCTTAGCTATCACCAAAGATTCTTTTGTATCTTAGCTATAATCAAAGATTTTTTTTTTCTTAGCTATCGTCAAAGATTCTCTTATATATATCTTAGCTATCGTCAAAGATTCCCTTATATATNGTATATTATCTTAGCCGTCGTTAAAGATTCCCCTTGTATATTATCTTAGCCGTCGTTAAAGATTCCCCTTGTATATTATCTTAGCCGTCGTTAAAGATTCCCCTTGTATATTATCTTAGCCGTCGTTAAAGATTCCCCTTGTATATTATCTTAGCCGTCGTTAAAGATTCCCCTTGTATATTATCTTAGCCGTCGTTAAAGATTCCCCTTGTATATTATCTTAGCCGTCGTTAAAGATTCCCCTTGTATATTATCTTAGCCGTCGTTAAAGATTCCCCTTGTATATTATCTTAGCCGTCGTCAAAGATTCTCTTGTATCTTAGCTATCGCCTGCGTCGCGAAAAACCTTCGCACAGAAAGCAGGCGAGCTCATGCTTGAGCTCTGGACTGAGATGGTTGGTGCCGCATGTTGTGTGTCGCTTTCAACAAGCTACCTGACGCAGTTTTTACCTTAAACCTGACATATTTTTCACCTAAAATTTGCAGTTTTCATCTTAAATTCGATACCTGACGCAGCTTTAATCTTTGATTTAAAGAGTGATCACACCTGACAGTGGTTGCCTTGGCTTTTAGCTTGGCAACATTTGCCTAAAAACGAAATGTTCTTGAAAAAATCTCACTGCCTACAAAATATTCTGCTGGAAATTACTAGAAATTTAAAAATTGAAAATTTCCCTCATTTACTTCATTGTTACTAAATATTTTTCGTATGTTTTAAAATTTCAACGGATGCAATGGTTGAAAAATTTGATGGTGTGGTCAAGCCTTGCTAGAGTCGCGTGTCATTGTGCTGCCCTGTCGTGAACTTAACGTTTGTTTGTTATGTGTTGGCTTCAACCTTTTGTCGATATTTGTGTCCGGTATACGCGTATTTCATTGCCAGGGGCCATACTTTCAAAACTCGCGAAGTGAACGTAAGTACTTACGCTCTATTTTCTTGTCTATGATTGGTGGATTTTGCTTGCGTGGACGTCAATGATTGGCTGATTCTTAACTTTTTTGAAAGTGTAGGCCCAGGCCTATATATGGATACGCCTAGTATGTTACCCAAATTACTGCGACGCATCGAAACCAAGATATGGCCTAACTGAACTATCAAAAATACTTCGTCTCATAATACTGAGCTGTTGAGCGGTAGAGCTCTTCCTAGGGTGGGTCAATCTCATCTTTCTTTTTTCACATTTTACTGGTTTTCGGTCTCTGCTAATTTATATTTCAGTGCTTCTTTGTGGTTTATTCAAATAAGAGACCATGTTTATTAATTTAGCTGAAGATTAATTTGTTCTCTTTCGAATATCATTTACAACGGTTAATGTATCCGTAGACAATTTTTTTTGTTTAGTAGTTATTTCGATTTATGTTATTGTAACGTAACTATCAAAGATGAGATCGATGTTTTCAGACCAACATCCCAACCGTGATCCGTCACTCATTCTCCAAGAGATTCACTCAACGCAATGTATTCTTGCTGCGCACTAAAATAAATCAAAATGAATCCAAATTCTAGGATCTAAACAAATTCATGAGCTCCTTTAACCCTATAATGGTCACTTGCTAAAAACTGGTCAGAGTGGTTGCCTACTATTTGATATGTTTCATTAAGATCGACTTTCGTAAGCATGGATTACATAAATATGTTATCTACACAATAACTCTTGGGTTAATATATACGACTTGCCGTGCATCTCTCTCAGTTGGAAGTGTCGCTGTTGCCCAGTTTCTTGATCATTTTGATGTTGACTTTCTCTCCCATTCCTTGACCTTCCTCGAGGTTTAGTGAGAAGTTGTTGTTGGTTCTTGTGTCTAGACCCTCCAGACAAATGACGTAGAAGTAACGTTGATTTCGTTGAAACAACATCCAATCAACGATATTTTAATGTTAGATGTTTGGTGGGGCTCCTATTCGTGACCTCGCAGAACTGGCGCGGACGCTTTACAGTGATTTTTTTATCTACCTAGCATTTAAACGCATGCAATAGCCGTGTTATACTAATGCTGGTTTTCGTGTTCTTTTTTGTTGCAGAAGCTGGACCCGTACTTCATGAAACAGCGATTTGTCCTTCATGTGAGCCTCCTTTTGTAGTTGCTTCCTTTCATGCTTCATTTATGATCTTATTCTACGTTATTTATGATCTTATTCTGCTTCATTTATCTATGCCCTTATTCTGAATTATACCTTGAAATGCTCCCGCATAATAACCCGCAAATAGAGCTTGAATGAAATCTGTTTTTTACTTCACGTTTAAACAATTGCACCTAGAAATGTCTTTTGTTGATTATCGCGTGAACTTATCTTGCTTTTTAGTGTTATTTTAGCAGACTGACGAACTTGTTGACAATGAATGAGCCATACTCGATACGAGTTCGCTGTGTTTTGGTTGCTGTATTAAAATTATTAATCTACTGCTTTAATTTATGCTGATGTTTTTTTAACTATTCTACACTTAGCAGAAGTTGCTTATGTTCATAACTTATTCTCAACCTAGAATTATCCTGATAATTTCCAAGGAAATTTTCTCAGCTTGAGCAGGCTGGGTCAACTCACAATCAGACTAAAATCATTGCATAAACTCGTATTCAGTAGAATCGTAATTCGTGCTCTGAGTTTCCTTTTTATTGGTAATTGCTAATCAGCTAGTATTTAAGAAAACGATCATGAAATATACAATGTATTAAACTTCTTTTGATGATTTGTATAGCTGATGCGAGTACTTATAGGTAGAAGTAAAGGTAAAAGTGTGATATTGACAAATATGAAGGTTTATAATGGATTAATCTTTTTTTTTTTTTTTTGTTATCGCTGAAGCGAGTTCTTATTGGTAGAAGCTAAGGTAATAATTTTATATTGACAAATATGAAGGTTTATTATTGACAAATATGAAGGTTTATATTCACACGTATAACTAATTGTATGCGCTCAGTTCCCCGGGCTGCCGGCGCTGGAGATCTCGACCCCCGCGGTGCTACAGGACGTGAGTGACGTCATCAGCCGCATGTTCAACTTCGTACTCAATGACCCCGCGCACTTCCCGCCCATGGACAGACACTTTACTGCCGTCTACAGCAGAGACAGGGAGTACTTGTGAGTACAAGAAGTGTTTGTGAGTACAAGAGTCAAGAGGTACTTGTGAGTACACTAAGTATTTGTGAGTACACGAAGTATTTGTGAGTACAAGAAGTGTTTGTGAGTACATTAAGTGCTTGTGAGTACAAGAAGTATTTGTGAGTACACGAAGTGCATTTGTGAGTACACGAAGTGCATTTGTGAGTACACGAAGTGCATTTGTGAGTACACGAAGTGTATTTGTGAGTACACGAAGTGCGTTTGTGAGTACAAGAAGTATATTTGTGAGTACACGAAGTGCGTTTGTGAGTACATGAAGTGTATTTGTGAGTACACGACGTGCATTTGTGAGTACACGAAGTGTATTTGTGAGTACACGAAGTGCATTTGTGAGTACACGAAGTGCATTTGTGAGTACACGAAATGCATTTGTGAGTACACGAAATGCATTTGTGAGTACACGAAGTGTATTTGTGAGTACACGAAGTGTATTTGTGAGTACTCAATCACTGTAGTGCAATGGTAGCAGCACTTAAATGAGAGGAGTTAACCGAGGGCTCTAAGCCTTAGAAAGCTCAGTTAATTTCTTGGCTTTACTGGCGAGTTGCACTTGGTGGCCATCGAGGTTAGTGCATCAGCATGGCGTTGGTGTCCCTAAATGAACTCTGGACACCTGTTATTTGTGGGGATTTTAAGGTTTTAAGTATACATAGGTGAAATATTTACCTCAAATTGTAATTGTACTTATTAACGAAAGAATCACCCCCGTCACTCGCTCAAACATTCACTAGCTTTACCGAGCTAATCGCCATAATACCTCATAAAGTTTACCGAATAATCACCCTGATCACTCGTCAGGTTTAACGTAAACGACGAGTTCTTCAGCGCCGCGATCCGCGCCCGCATTCTGGACTTCATTTTGCGGCGCAAGCGCTTCGGTGCGGACGACGAAGGCGACGACTTCGCGTTCGGCATCGAGAAGTTATTGAGTGACGGCACCTACGTGGCTGCATACCCCATACATGAGGTGAGTGATGCCCATACATGAAGTGAGTGATGCCCATACATGAAGTGAGTGATGCCCATACATGAGGTGAGTGATGCCCCATACATGAGGTGAGTGATGCCCCATACACGTGAGTGATGCCCATACACGAGGTGAGTGATGCCCATACATTGAGTGATGCCCCATACACGAGGCGAGTGATGCCCCATACACGAGGTGAGTGATGCCCCATACACGAGGTGAGTGATGCCCCATACACGAGGTGAATGTATGAGTTGTGGAGGTCTACCCCTAACAAAACTGCGGATGGAATCTATACAGTTCAATTTCACTACATTTCTGATGATATGCAATTCTCCTCAATTGCTCATAGTTACGTCTTTGTAAGAGTTATTTTGGCCGCGTTTTCATTTATTTCTATTTTGCAGGGAGACTTCCAGTCTGGCCAAAACTCGCGCGCGATCCTCTATAAGCACTGGGCCTCCATCAGGAACTTCTACAAGTGAGTGAGCGCCTGGAGCGCGAGGAGTTGTTCTCTGTTATCGGCTTTATGAATTCTTTATGATGTTTGGTTGTCTGCGGCCTATCGACTTAACCTTCCTGTACTGTCAGATTGCATGTAATGAAAGTCTATGTGTATCATCATGTCAGTTAAATAGATATTTTCTTTGAAAAATCAGAAAAGTATTTTCATTATCAAATTTCTACCATTGGATTTCCGACCCCTATATTCATGCTATCAGTGTGATTAAAATGTGAAAGAATTTCACAGGTGCAATACACCGCGAAATATATTAGTTGTTTTAACTTGTATGGTAAGGTACCAGCCTCTGGATCACATCCGGCGCTACTTCGGGGTGAAGATCGCGCTGTACTTCGCCTGGCTGGGCTTCTACACATACATGCTCATCCCGGCCTCCATCGTGGGCTTCCTTTGCTTCTTGTACGCCGCCTCTACCATCAACCTTCATCAGCCCAGGTACGTCAGCCAGAAAAATTAATTCTTCTCACACTGGTTTTGGCATCGATGCACATTTTGTCTATCAAATTTTGGCATAATAATAAATATAATAATACAACACAATAAATATAAAAATACAAAACAATAAATATAATAATACACTAATAAACATTCCTGACTGATAACCTACGTTGGGACTGAACTAAAAGGTATTTTAGCAGTGACTCGAGCATTGCTATGATTTCATTGATATATCGGCTTTGTGAAGGAAAATTAACTAATTTCTAAATACTTTGCAGCAACGACATATGCAACCAGGAGCTAGCACGTCACATAGAGATGTGTCCTCTGTGCGACAAGTTCTGCGGCTACTGGAACCTCAACGACACCTGCTTCCATGCCAAGTTCACATACCTCGTCGACAACCCGGCCACAGTCTTCTTTGCTGTCTTCATGTCCTTCTGGGGTACATCAGAACGGTCTTAATGTCGTTCCGGATATTGTGGAGCTTTTTTTTTGTCATAGCAAGACATTTTCTGTCTTGATTTGTTATTGCACATCAATTTTTTTTTTCACTCGGCTGCTAAGCTTATGTTTGTATTCAGCCGCAGTTGGTGAAAGAATGTCTGAGTGAGCTGCATTCGAATATAGTGGCAGAAATTTTAATAGATGAAAAGATTTTAGTGATGCTTTGATAATGTACTTCTGCTTTGATACTACGATTTTAGGCATGTTTTTCTCAGTCTAGTCTTCAAAATTGAAGATTACGTTTATTGGCTACAATTTCGATCGCTTTTTTATCAATTGATTAATTTTTTCAGGACTGAATTAACTCGTCATTTGAACCTGTACAAATATTTTATGTGGCTAGTAGCTCTATGAATATAAAATATAATTCAATTGTGTCAGTTAAAAAACTTCGACTGTATTATTCATTAAGATGTTTCTTTGGTCAAAAACCACGACTGTGTTATTCATTTAGATGTTTCTTTGGTCAGCCGCTTTGTTCCTGGAGATGTGGAAGCGCTACTCAGCCGAGATCAGCCATCGCTGGGACTTGACGGGCTTCGACATCCAAGAGGAACATCCGCGGCCGCAGTACCTCGCACGGCTCGCGCACATCAAAAAGAAGACCGTCAACATCGTCACCAAGACCATCGAACCTCGCCCTCCCTTCTGGCGCATGCGCGTCCCTGGCGTGCTCCTCAGCGCATCGTCTGTACTGCTCCTGGTTTGTCTAGCTCCGATAAAATGAAATCTTCCATCGTAATTATCAATATTAAATAGATCTACAATCTTCAATAATAAAATCTTCAATCTTAATAATCAATCTTAAATAGATCTTTAAACTTCTTCAATAATAAAATCTTCAATCTTAGTAATCTGTCTTAAGTAGATCTTTAATCTTCTTCAATAATAAAATCTTCAATCTTAGTAATCTGTCTTAAGTAGATCTTTAATCTTCTTCAATAATAAAATCTTCAATCTTAATAATCAATCTTAAATAGATCTTTAAACTTCTTCAATAATAAAATCTTCAATCTTAATATGTAATCAATCTTAAATAAGATCTTCAATCTTGATAATCAATCTTAAATACGATCTTCAATTTTGATAATCAATCTTAAATAAGATCTTTAATCTTAATAATCAATCTTGAATAAGATCTTCAATCTTCTTCAATAATAAAATCTTAAATCTTAATGTAATTAATCTTAAATAACATCTTCAATCTTGATAATCAATCTGGATAATCAATCTTATATAACATCTTCAATCTTCTTCAATAATAAGATCTACAATATTAATGTAATCAATCTTAAATAACATCTTCATTCTTGTTAACCAATCTTAGCAAAGATCATCAAACATAATAATCAATCTTTAAGAAAATCTTCAGTCTTAATAATCAAACTTAAATAAGATCTTCAATCTTATTAATCAATCTTAAATAAGATTTTCAATCTTCTTCAATAATAAAATATTCAATCTTAATTTTGTTTGCTCCAAAACTGCCTGAAGGGTTTATGTTGAACTCGTAGCCTGATATGTAGGGGCTATACATAGTGTAGTTTTTGAGCACAATGTTTTGTAGTGTAGTTTTGAGCACAACTGATGAGCGCAACTCAAGTACATATTAAAATGTTTTGAGATGTTGCTATAAAGTTCTCATTTGATTTTACTAACAATATACCTATATCGTTTTTTCATCGTCGAAATTGATATTCATGGGCTTCTTTGTACCACTCAATCGCTCCTGAAGACGAAAAAATCACCACCAGAAGGAAGTGATTTATTTATGTAGTAACCCCAGTGCCCCTGGGTAATGATGCCTCCTTGTCTGGGTTATAACTCTGCTGGTGTGCTGCAGGTTATGATGGCGTTCATAACTCTGCTGGTGTGCTGCAGGTTATGATGGCGTTCATAACTCTGCTGGTGTGTTGCAGGTTATGATGGCGTTCATAACTCTGCTGGTGTGTTGCAGGTTATGATGGCGTTCATAACTCTGCTGGTGTGTTGCAGGTTATGATGGCGTTCATAACTCTGCTGGTGTGTTGAAGGTTATGATGGCGTTCATAACTCTGCTGGTGTGTTGCAGGTTATGATGGCGTTCGTTGCTGTGGTGGCCGTCATCTTGTACCGCATGTCGATGCTGGCAGCGCTCAGTATCCACGGTGAGACCGTCATCACCTCGTACGCCATCATCTTCACCTCCACCACTGCTGCCGTCATCAACTTGATATGCATCATGATTTTCAACCAGGTGAGAATTTGTTTCGAGCGACTTATACTTCATCGAAAAGTTGGATTCCTGAAGAAAATACAACATAAGTGCTACCGCTCTAAATAAAGAGCATGGCATGTTAATAACGTGTTGCTGGAAATGTAAGAATTGTTCCTTTACTGCTATTCCTGCTTTCCAAAACGCGCCGAAAAAAGAACTATGCAATTCTTCTTAATTTCCTAATTCATGATCATATCCTTATTGATTTGTTTGTTTTATGTGGAATAATTTGCTTCCTCATGCAGAAAAATTACATATGCTGTATAAACTGTTCAGCTCGCGTCAGACTGCATTAGTTAGGCACGCTACGATCGAACCTCAGTGTAGGTACTTTTGTTCCAATACAATCAAACAAGAGTTAAGCAATTAAAAGAAAAAATGATAACTACGAGTCATGTTCACAATATAGAGTCAAGAATTATCATATTGCATTATTTGTATATTTATGGTAATGAAAATATCGTATTTTCATCAGGTATACGCCCGCATGGCTGAATCCCTCACGGAGATGGAGCTGCAGCGCACCCAGACCGAGTTCGACGACTCCCTCACTCTCAAGATTTACCTTCTGCAGTTCATCAATTACTATGCATCCATTTTTTACATAGCTTTCATCAAAGGCAAGATGGTCGGATATCCCGGCAATTACAATAGATTCTTTGGGTCACGTCAAGAGGAATGTTCGCCTGGTGGGTGCCTCCTTGAACTGTCAGTGCAGCTCGCCATCATAATGGTCGGCAAGCAGGCCATGAACACCGTCGTCGAGATGATCCTGCCCAAGATGTGGCAGTGGTATAAAATGCTTACTGTACCTCAGCATCAAAGAGACACTCATACCAGCTGGCCTCAATGGGCTAAAGACTTCAAACTAATCGACTTTGATCCCCGTGGTCTCTTCCCTGAATATCTCGAAATGGTCCTCCAGTATGGCTTTGTCACTATCTTCGTGTCATCGTTTCCTTTGGCACCTCTATTTGCGTTCGTCAACAATGTGTTGGAAGTTCGTCTTGATGCCAAAAAGTTGCTTACAAACTACAGGCGTCCAGTGCCTCAAAGAGTTAAAGATATCGGCGTTTGGTTTCGAATATTGGATTCAATCGGCAAGTTTGCTGTGATCACCAATGCTTTCATTATAGCATTCACATCCAACTTTATTCCTGAACTTGTGTACATGCATGTAGTGTCTACTGACAACTCTTTAAAAGGATTCCTAAACCACAGTTTATCTGTGTTTGAAGTGAATGATTATCCTCCTCAGTACAAACCTCCTTACGATCCAGCAGAAAACGTGACGATCTGTCGGTATCCTGATTACCGCAACCCGCCAGGCAGCGAGCGAGAATACAAGTACGCGCCGATATTTTGGCACATTCTTGCGGCCCGTTTCGCCTTCGTTGTTGTCTTCGAGAACGTTGTTTGTGTCGTGATACTCTTGGTGAAGTGGCTCATCCCTGATATGCCGTTCCGCCTTAAGGAACAAATACGTCGTGAAGCATACATGACCAACGAACTGATCGTTGAACAAGAGCTGCAGATGGCACGCGAGGCTGCCACGCTGGCACAGACACCACAAGACGGTGACTCAAATAAGCATATGCAAAGACTGCAGCGTCAGAGCTCTGCGCCTGCATTGTCGGTCAGAGAGCGCAAGCCGGCTAACAGCACCAGAACTAATCATGATTACTTAAGAGAAGAATTCTTCGAATCTGAGTCTCCAGATAAAGCTTTAAAAAATCCTTAGATACGTTATACGTAATCAGAAACCAAAAAATATCCCGTAGCTAGACATGTCTATCTTGTTGAATAATTTGTGTTATTTGAGTGATATGTATGATTTCTTAGTCTGGAATTTCCTAATTACTTGTAAGTAGTTTGTACAGAACATAGCGTTTATACAAGGTGAATCTGTATATTAAACTGTGTCAGAACAAAGTTAATCATGTTACGTTGGATGATGTGTGGGAGACCAAGTAATCATGCTAACTGTGCCGTTACTTTGGTTTAATTAGTTTTGTTCGCCTGCCTGCTCAAAAGGTTAACTATTAAACATTGTTATCGTTCTTTCTAACACGCCATTGTGAAACCATGCCTTCATCATCAGGCTTGTAAATTATCTTTCAGAAGAGTGGAACTGAGTTTATTCCTATTCTCTGTCCAGCGCTCAGGCTCTAAGATAGCAACATTTACCAATTACCAGGTAAAATGCCAGATATAAGTTTACTCCCGAATTTTTTTCTGTTTCTTTTTACTGTTGAACGTGAAGTTTGAATCGTAGAGTTATTATTATATTAATTATTATTATAGGTATTAATTATCTCTTCTCAAAGATACCTCGCAATGACGCGAGTGAAGCCTCTTTTATAGACGTGCTCTGACGTCTTGCCTGCCCGCTTTGTCCTGCTTTTATAAAGCACTATATATTAAAACTTATTACTTTTACATTTGCAATGGATCAATGTTCCTTTGCTTTGATCATTATTCAAGTGCCACGTATGAATCTCTTCAAAACTTGTGATCGATTTGCTTCATTATGAAAATAAGAATCTCGTTAGTGAATACCTTGTTTGATGTTCTCTTTAATGAGTATTATATAAGAATCTCGAGAGTTTATCTATGTTCAATGTATGAATGTTTTTTAATTATGAAAGCCGCTAACCATATCGTTAATTTGTTCACTATTTAACACGCTTCTGTAGTTCTAAAGATACCTTCTTCAATCTTGATGTTTTTTAGTTTATAAGCATTTGCGCAAGCATGTGAACATTAATTTCTATGCTCAAAATGTACATTAAACATTATTATCGTGTTAAAAACTCTTATTTTGTGGCCACGTTGGACCGATGTAATTTTTAGGTCAAGTATTTATTTTAGGTTTTTGATTAGTTTTCTATGTTTTTTATTAGCGTTCTCGGGCCACGAATGCTTCTTGGCCGAACGGCCAATGATGAAACTGAAATCAGCATCTGGTACTGTTGAGTTACTGAATTTGTTCAGTAGAGTAAAAGAAATTTTCTCCTGCAAGTCAACCTTGCCGCATGATGCTCATCATTTGTTTAATACCTCGTTTTTCTTTTTATCCTGCTAGATTATTAAATTTTATTGTCATCTTTCCGATTCGCAAGTTGCTCATTCCTAAGCTAATGATATTGACTTGATGTTTCGATGTGATTTTTGTGTTGCTTTGTGAAGTTTCCTGAACACATTCATGTAATGCTCGATATTTTAATTGATTCTCTCGTGTTGCTTTTCAGATTTTATTGGTGCTATGAATGTTCCCAATTGTTTTAAGTACTTTGGAAGGTCTCATCGTCCTTATTCGGTGCTCCTTCCTGTCAATGTCTCAAGTAATGTATAAATCAGAACGCTTGATAGCTTATTCAAGAATGAATCTGTTCGGTTACTCACTCACTATAAGGCCTGCTTCAATTGGTTCATTTTAGATGCGTGATTAGCTGAGTAAGTTGAACTCTGTGAACGAAATACTTCGTTTCATATGAAGAATAATAAAGGTAGATTTTATCCCAAAATCAACGCTTGAAATATGAACATCTCTTGAGCTCTTCTTCCCGTTTGGCACAATGTGTGTAGCGTTTTGATGCTCAGCTACCGCACACCCCACGCAGGATGTGTGGCAGATCTCCATGAATGGTTCGAGATCTGTTCTTTCTGGCTCCAACACTCTTATCAGTTCCATTCAGGGCCACACTATGGACCACCAACGCTTGCATCAAGTTGTCTTGCTGTTCTTCTTGCTAATACGAGTAGATTAGTCAAAGTCCCATTTTCTAACCTCAATTCGTCCATGAACAGCCTCATTAAGAAAGGGAATATGAATCCCGTTTTTACAATAAAAAAATAGAAAACGTAGATTGTATACCAATGCTATTTAGTTTCCATCGTCTTCACTGCACAGGATTTAAATACGCCTTTACATTTTCAATAAAATTACATTGAAGTTTTCTTGCATAATCTTCTTACTTAGGGATTAGCAGGTCTCGCCTACAATTCATTAACCATTTGTTTTTCATGGCCGATTTTTTTTTTTTTTTGAGCTTCAATAACAGTTGGAAGCCCAACCATTCTGCTCGCGACGATTACGTTGACTTGATAGTTGATAGCTGTTGAATTAGTTATAATATGATATCGTTACTTGCTGTGCAATTTTTTATTGATCGTTTCTGTCCTTGAGGTACTTAACCTTGTCTAAGACTATTTATTTATTCCTGTTTTCACGAGTCCACTGGAATACAATTTAGACATCGCAACTGACCGGCGCTATTCTCAGACAAGATATCGCTCGTTTTCCATCATTAGAACATCGGGTGTGAATCATTGACAAGTAGTGCAAGTCTGAGAGTGATTTCTACACAGGATTTTCCTTGCAATTAGGAGCTTTCCATATCGAAGATTCATTTCCAGATTTCATTGATGTTCACTGCAACTGTTTGCTGTTAGAGTCAACCCGCCTTCTACTGCTGCCTTATATATCGTGTGAAATAAAATTTTGTTCAGAAAATTACGTTTATTCTAATCAACGTAAAGAATCAAACTAAAGCTATTTACCATGGACGTGAGTCAAGTGGGAAATGTCCATTGGATTGCACTACATATATAAATGAATGAACACGTTAGACTAATAAAAATATGTTCTCATTAACTGAAAATAATCTGGCGCCTTGGTTCATTGGCTCGTTCTCAGTTAGTCTCCACAGAAATATAAATAAAACGAATATGCAACGGAATTTATAACAATCAACATTTAGTGTGAAATGATTCATCACTGAATTGATTACTTTATTCAGTTATCTCGGAACGAAACCGTATATATTCAAAGCTAAATAATAGCAATAATGACTGCAAAAGAACCAAGCTTCATATATAGCTATATTATTCATCGTATAATATTATCAAATGAATAATTTATTTATCTTTCATTCCGGAATAATAGCGTCTTATAAAGATATATTATGCTGAGGGCAACGAGCGAGTCATATCTTACAAGAACATAAATAGGTTTAGGATACAAAGACCATAAAATAATCCAGCGCTTACTCTACAGAACACATGCATGACAGAAGCAGACCGATCACATTCAGAGCTCGATAACAATTCTATACATCCCGGCGAGCTCTGAATGACTTATTAATAAGCTTTACCTGAGTATTACACGCTCAAACACAGAAAGTTAAGATGTATATATTTAGTTTAGCAAGGGTTATTTCTTGAGAATGGAGTTGATTTGTTTGTTGGTAGAGTTGAGGTTGAGGTCAGTTTTGTCTGCCTTGCTGGTGATGGTGTCAAGTAGCTTGTTTTGATCGGTTATTTCCTGGCCCAAGCCTTCAGCCAAACCCTTGAGGCGAGACAAGCCAAACGCCATCTCCTCTGATCAAGAATAAATCAGATATATAAATGCCAATGGCTTTACTGACTCACAGTAAAATGCGCTTACCAACCGTAACTAAATCATTCAACCTCATGACTTCTTCATAGTAAATCTGACCATCAAAAACACGGCGAATTGAAATAAATTTCGGTTACCTTTTTGAACAACTTCTTTTAAATGAAATAAGTAGTACCTACTGCTAATCACTAAGAGTTTGCGAGAAATGCAAAATTATAACTTGAAAGGATCTTACCCAGATCATTGTCCAGCTGCTGATTCACTCGCTTGGAGGTCTGTTTCCAGTCTGCCTCATCCCCAACGCCTGGTCCTTGGTAACGTGTAGAGCCACTAGACTCACTGTAGTCAATCCCACGCAAACTCAAACCTACAAGAAAAAATTAATTAATTTTATGCATTCTAAGTAATTTATTTTATGACTTCTAAGATCGAATTTTCTATTCACATCAACACAAATACAAACTCAAACATGTCAGTAACAATGGTCAGGTCTGGTGTAGTCAGAACAATAGTCGGGTCTGGTAGACAGCAACAATGGTCAAGCCAGTTGATCAGCGCTACTGTTCAAGAACTTTCATTCACTGTAAAACTAACCAGACGTAGAAGAACCCAAACCTGCAGCTCTAAACGCTGAAAACCGACACATTTCAACATTTCCAGACAGGCTGACAGATTTGAAAATTTAGAATTTATACCAAGAATTCATGATTGACAAGACTCACTAGGGTCAGGGTACTTAGGAGCAATGTTGACGGCTCTCTCAAGCTTGGGATTGTGATCGAAGGAAGGTTCTTTGTAGCCAGAATCTGCAGAGGGGCTTGCAACATCACTTGTTTTCTTCTTGTCTTTTGTGTCTGCATTCTTGGGCGATGTCATCCATTGTCTAAAACTGCTGAAAACGCTCTGTAATGTTTTTTATTCAGAAGTAATTCATTTTTCAGAAAAATAGTGGTTAAAGTAACGCAACATTACTCAAAGTAACACATCACAAAGAATATGATTCATAAAATAAATAATAATGTTAAACTCACTTTGATGGCACTTATGTTCTTCTGAGACTCCTTCAAGTCTTCATTAATGTTGTCCAGCCGCCTGTTGGTGTTCTCCAGTTGCTCTCGTTGGTGCACAAGGTCCTGGATAGTAATCAGATTTAGCTGAAATACGACTCATGACTAACAAAAGACTCTGCAGTACAACTACGTAATAATTGCCCAGTTACAGAAAACCTTTTCTCTATTAATTTGATACTAATTCACGTATATAGGTACAGAATTTGGTGATGTTTATTCTGAAAATAAATACCTACTTTCATGTCTTAAAAATCTACTTTTACCTGCCAATATTGAAGGCATAATACAGCTGGTATGCAGGTATAATATCTTACCTTGGCAGTCTCAACACCAATTTGTTCACTTTCAGCAATGGCCTGCATACTCCGTTTTGTTGATGCAAGTGTCCGCCGTTCTACCTGAAGAAGAAAGGGAACCTCTCAAGCATAAAGGTATATAGGTACTTTTAGCTCCAAATATATGTTGCAGACTTAATGCTTGAAATCAAAATTACGATGTAATCTGAGTAACTGTGCAAGCAACTTCCATTAACCATGTTATTTCTTCTTATTTATCAGAAAATTCCTGAATTATTATTAATTTTTTTGATTTTTATTCTTTAACAAAATTTGAACTGACTGTGTAGGTATAAACTTTACATTACTACTTTAAAAATGTACAAAAATCCAGGTCTGAAACTCATAAAAGCAAGGACTTCACATGAGTTGAACTTTGAGATCATGTACTTTGTAAAATCAGTTTCACTACAGCCATTGGTGATAGCTTACATCTTGGATCTGCTGAATGGTAGACTGATATTGAAGCTCCTCTGGTGAAGTATCACTGGGAGGACTGAAAGGCTTAGGACCATTTCCAAACAGTCTGTCTCCTGCCATGTAGGCACCCCCCGAAGATTGTAGAAAAGCTGCCAAGACAAATCACATTAGATCATCACAGCTCAGTGGTAAACACAAGCTTTGTCAAATACATTCTGAATACTATTTACATGATCATTGTTGCATCTTTGGCCATTGTGGTTTCCAGCACAAAATAAGGGGTTAGTAAAAGAAAGAAAATGTGGCTTGTTTTTAAACATAGAGTAGCTCCTACATCTAAAATTTGAAACCTTGAAATGTTGACTCCAAAGTTCTATAGCTATATATCTATGTATTTGTGGACCATGGAAAGTTAGAAAGTTGGTGGTACATATATTTTAATGCAGTTAAATAGGATTAGGTCATTGAAAAATTATTACAAATCTTAAGTTTGTGTGTTTTAAAATAACATAAGGAAAATTTGTCCCTATCTGATAGGTAAGTTTGGCAAATGAGCATTCAGAGTTAACATGTTGAGAAGATTGATTATATAGAGACATAGCAGATCTCACAAAAATATTTCTTCCAAGTATTATTTTAAATTACGATATATTTTTAAAAATTCAGTAAGATACCATAATACTATGAACATTCAAGTAAAAATATATACCTATTAAACATGAACAAACTCACCAGACTCCATGTCATCATCAGCAACAGAAAATGCTGGCTTGTTACTGTTCAAGGCATAATTGTGACTCATTTTAAATAATTTTATTGGAATCACAATAATAAATTTAGCAAGAGTAAAAATCTGCCTTCAAGAAAATTAAATAACTTGCTGAAGAAGAATTACCATTTACAAGAATTCTAACTGTATAAAAAAAGGAGAGACCAATATAAAGAAGATATGAAGCAATATTTGGAAGAATACAAACATATACTTATTACTTAACAAACGTTTATTAATAAAAAAAAACCTGACTCAAGCTGCAGGTTTGGCAGATTAAGTGCCATGTGGATGTATGCTTTATTGCTTTTATTGTATGGTAACTACATTATTTCTTCACTAAATAACCTATCACAAATAATTATACATGAATGTTTCTTAGGATAGGAGCAATAAAAGATGATTTTGATTCCTTGCAATGCATCTATCAACGTTATGCCCCATGCCAATGTTTGTTTTACCCGCAGTGCTACATTAAATTTAGGTGAAAAAGACTCCCTATAGTTGAAAACTACCATCAAACAGAGAAATAAGGGAAATTTCTTTTATTTGTTGACAACTTCTTAACCATGAAACATTTCAGAAACAAGTTTTGGCTTATTTTAAAGGTCTCAGCAAGGGCTATTGTATGGCATCTTTGAAAAATTTCATATCTATTTGTAAGATGCCAGGAGCAAAATAAAAAGCCCGAATTGCCACAGGAAACAAGGTAATCTGGGACACAAAATAAAACTTAATTTTAAAATGTTTGAAGCATGCAGGGTGTACTCATCCATTACTAACAGACTAACAGTACTCCAAACTCCTTTATTTGTAGCTGATGATGTATAGAATAAATGATGTTTTATCAATTTATGTGATTTATAATTGCTGATATTACAGTATCGGGGATCCATTTTTCAATAACAAAAACTATTTTTTCTTTCTATACCCAACACTTTTAAAACCTCCTCAAGAAAACTTTCATGCCATTGACAACAACCTTGTCCAAGTCAGGATTTGAATTTTCCTACTTGTTCCTGAAATCTCACGGCTCCAACATGTCAAATTTTTAATACAATTGGAATCTTGTGGCCTGATTGTGCACTTTTGTTAACAATTAGATAGGAAGTAATTCATCTGCTGGAAATCTCGCGGTTCTGGAAATGGCAGGAAAGCTCTAGTTGCAGCCCTAAGGGTAGATGTTTTCCACGTTTGGTCCAAGTGCTGCAAGCTTTGAATCAGCAGCCAACCAGTACTAACCATACTATAGCATTTCTCCTTCAAGCTCATGAGACTGGGCTTGTAATTTTGCAACTTTCACACCATTTTAATTGGGTCAAGTGAATTAATTCACTATAACAAAAAAAGATCATATAAACATAATACCTGAAACAGAAAGAAATATTTTAGTGACAACCATAATATTTTTTGGAGAAATAAATAACAGTTTAGTTTGATTACTTTTCATTCTCTGTTGCCAGGTGCCCATTTCTATCCATGACATTCTATGCACCATTTTGTGATGACCAATGATGCATTAATTTTTTGTCAAGTGAAACATTTTTTCTGAGATAGGTACCTACTTTTAAACTCGGTGATCTAATTCAGACTTCGTTTGAAGATCTTTGTATTTACTGTATTATAACAATGGAATGAGCTCAATGAGGTATCCATGATTCTTCATTAGTGACTAAGTGTTAGTAGTGTGACAGTACCATAAAATGGGGTAACTTAGACCACTTTTTTTATAAATGATGCCATTTTTTTACTAGCTAAATTAAACTTGAATTGAAACATGCAAAATACAGGTCTATACTCTAGCTTCACTCACCATAAATTGCTGGCTCCTGCCTCTCATAGTCTTTATGCAATT